GTAGCCAGGGGGTTCCGGGGGGTTCGGACCCCCCTGGCTACGGTTTGGTCCACTTTTTATGTAAAGGTCCACGATTTTTCTTGAAAAGATGGACTGGAATCCTAGAAAAACTGCTCCCTTTGTCATTGAATAAAAATTTATCTCTGATTTTTTCTTGGAAATCCTCTCAAAGATGCACGAAATGCCATTTTAGAAGGTTCATTTTTCAAAATTTTGTAAGGAGAACGGCGCTCGAGGTCCCCTCAAGCAGTCGGAAGAACCCCACCCCCCCCCACCCATTCAAAATCCTGGCTACGGCCATGTAACTACATGTCATTCTACCACCAGACAAACATCTTACCTGTCTGTCCACGACTCTCCCAAATCCACAGAAAACCCAGAACAACGCGGAGAAGACTTCTTACTCCCGCCATTTCCTTCACTTACGTGATCTTATGTGCAAGGTACTGCCAGGTGCGGGCTTTGTCTTTATTTGGTTTAAGTCATTTCCTGTTCCTATTCTTCCACGAAACGCAGAGCACTCGGTGGAAATCCTGACTGTGGGAATAATGGTTAGGAATAATCGAAAATGTCCTTTTTGTAAAAACGCCAGTGGGCAGAACCAAATATTCAACCCATGTGAAGAATGGAACATTAGAAACGCTAGAGATGTAGCGAACATGAAGTCAACCATCGCCTCCGTGAAATACCAGTCATACCTGGGCCGTGATGACGTTCGATGTGCCAGTGTGATAAGGCCACACCGACTTAATTTTATGGACGACATCCTCTGAGGACACACGGGCGAATAAAAAAAATCCGACCAAAAATAGAAATGCTACTAAAACACAGGAGTACAAAGCTGGTATTGTGAATTTTCGGCAGTACATAGCGTCGGCACTGTACGTAGGTAGAGCTTCGGCAGCCAGAGTTACCACCGGCTCCGTATTGTCGCTAACTACCATGGATTACCCAGGCCTAGAGCCAGACCAGAGCCTCGGAGGATGTGATCTTTTTTTTTTGAGAACAGGCGAAAATCAATCACATTGTATAGTTCCCATTAATTATGCAAATTAGGTCTTCATTTACATAATCAATATCTGCCAAAGATCCTGTCTTTTCAATTACATATGTCACAAGTGTCACAAGCCCTAATATTGAACACAGCAGAATTTCTGCATTAATTATGCAAATTAGATCCTGATTTGCAGAATTGTACCTCGGTTATATCAAGCATCACTTAAGCTACCTACATGATAAAAAAACACGACGATCTGTCAAACGATTTTATAGTTATCCTCTCTAGCGGATCTTCAGATGCAATGACGGCACCGTGCACTCAATATTTCGGCGTCGGTTCAAGGGATGTCGGCTGTGGCCACTTCAGTTCTTTTGCGGATCAAAATACGGTGCCGTGCGCTCATTCCTTCGTCGGTTGTTGTTGTTGAGATTGCAAACTCGTCTATCTTTTTTGCGGATCGCGTATATCGGCAGAACAAAACACGACGCCATGCGTTCAAGGCATCGGTTCTTGTGATTGTGGACTATCTAATAGTCCTTTTACGGATCGTCAGATGAAATACAGTGCCATGTCCTCAATCCGACGCCGTCGATTTTTAGGATTGTGGAGTGATCAGTTCTTTTGTGGATCGGCAGAACAAAATCATGTGACGACACCACGCGCGCAGTCCTGCATCGGTTGTTGAGAATTTAGACTGGTCAGCTCTTTTTCAGATCGGCAGAATCGGCAGAACAAAATAGGTTTGCCGTGCGTTGAGTCAGTTTTGAGTGCAGTAAAGATAAAGAAAAAAATGAGAAAATCAAAAACAAGTACAGATTCACCGACTCACCTCGGTAGTGTTCAGACGTTATATGGACGATCGGGCTTCTGGTTCTGGTGGATGCCTGTGGCTCGAAGTGGTTCGTGGCTGGAGGTGCCACGAGGATGAATGTAGGAATAGTCACACCAGATGAAATGGGCTCCTTATGTAGCGGTGGCTCTGAATGCTTTTCTTCAGTGTTTGTCTATCCCAGCAAAAGCGTCGTGACCTGAGATCGTGATACCTTGATTTGAGGAATTTGCACTCCAGAAGAAGTGGCTCCTTACAAAGCACTTGTACTGGATGTTATTCAAAGGTGTAATTTGTTATTCAAACAAATTATAACAGCGTCAAGGTGTTCGAAACAGCAACTCACCAGCTGAGAATTTCAAGGGTCCAACGTTTTCATCGGAACATGCAGCATCGACAAACTGAAGTAGCCATTTTCTTCCCTTATTTTGACAGGGGCATCATGTACCATTTCTGCACCAAAAATTGAAATATTTCGAATGAAATAAATCTTTGACTTTTTGACGTACGTGTGTATTTAATTTGTGCAGTTTCTGCTCCATTTCAGACACCAAAGGGAAAAGGCAAGGAATTTGAATCAAGGAAACTTTGAAAAGACTGACCAACTACGGAAAAGGGGATTCAGTAAGTGGTACTCAAAGCCCTTACCCGTTCCTTTGTTTAAAAAATAGCGGAAGAAAATATTGGCAACATCAGTCTGTTGATGTTGTTGTCGTGGTGACGTTGGGTTCTTAAAATTCAACAACTTGACTTTACTCCGTGTGTTTATACCAGCTGCCAAACACGGTCTTAGCTAACTCCCTGTAGTTGGTCATTCTGGTTAGTTAACATTACCTGCACCGGGCCCCAGTAGGGCAGTGTAGATCGACTTGCACATATTATATCCTTTTTAACGACGTCTGTCAGAGAGGCCGCCTGTCAGGTGAGGAAGTACAGTAGGCTCATCCAGGAAGTATAGCAGACGCTTCGTTTCGTCATCGTGTCATATCTTCACATTATGTCGATATAAACATGTATGTGGTACACATAAGGTAGGACTCCATTCTTGCTCGCTTTATACACACAATTCAATCCAATCCAATTCTTTATTTCCATACCAACATTGCAGACATACAATATAGAATTAGGACTCCATTCTTGTTCGCTTTAGTTTATTGTGAGTTTGAGAACTTATTTTGTTGTTCGACTATACATGGTGCATGAGATAATGATAACCATCCTTGCTGTTTTGATTAAATCAACAACATTTTGCCGTCTCCGTTTTTCCTGTTTTCCTTCGTACCAATCTTATAGGATTTTTTGTTAGTTTCGCATGACACCAAACAAGTTTTTGCACTCGTCTATGATATTATTACAATTATGCATTACCTGTTTGTTTGTAAACGCGTTGTGTTTGCACATGTAATGCCATGTATATTATCAGAGGTTACTACAGTGTACTTGTACCTCCCCTCTCTACACCGGTCCCCACATAGCAGTTGTTGTTTTCTATTTTAGTTAGTGCTGTGGTTATTAATTCGGTCAGTAAGCGTTTCGTTAACCGCGTGTCATTGTGTCAACTAGTTTTGAAATTGTAACGATATCCGTGGCAGTGCGCGGTAAAAAAGTGACGAAGGGGTTTCGATGGTCACATTTCTAATAATCTGCTGCAAAATGGTATTTAATAGTTAAAATGTTAGTAGTTTAAACTACTAACATTGCTGGAAAGTGTAAAAAGTGGCATCTTTGGGTTGAAAATTGGTTTTGGGGCCGAGGCTTACTTCCGGCCCGTCCTTCCGCCTTGAGTGCGGTGCTTCGGTTTGACCCAGATATGCATTGTATGCGTTCTGGGGGTGCTGTCGCTATGCCTCACGCGACGGGCTATTGTGATAATCTCAGTGTTAGGATTTGCTTTATACTTTTCTTGATAATACATTCTCTTTCGACAGTATAAGTCATTTTGGTGGCTAAATTATTGGTGATGGGTTTAATTGCACGTAAAAATGCCCAGTTTTTGGCATCATTTTTTTTTCATCGAAAAATTCTTTACAATTTGAGAGGTTATGGAAACTGAAATTCGATTGTTCTCGTAGCTAGAGGGATGTCCTTCGTTTGCAAACAGTGTTTCGGCTTAAGAATTATTTCCTGAAATAGAGTTGAGGGTGTGCAGAATCGAACTGTGACCCAACAAAAACTGGGGTGTGCCCCCTTATATGCTTTTGTGTCGGCGTACGCCGTCGCCCAAGCGGCCTACTTTCAATGTTATTACTGATCCAATTGATCATTATGACATGTTGATGGGCACTAAGCAAGTACGTATTCTTAAGTTGCTTTACCACACCTGTTATCTTTCATCATTTTAGTGTAGGTCATAATTTCAGCAACTTGACATGTTCCACCGTGAGTTTACGGGGATCCTGACATATATTTGCAAATATGGAAGCCAATCCTATTTGTATCTCTGGGAACGGCTTCAATTTATTCATGTCTTTTTCTCTCTTTGTCCCCGAAGGTGAGCTACGCCATGCCCATACCCACTCCCGGGCTACAGAAGGAATTCACTGGTGAGATGGACAAACACCTGTTATCTTTTATCATGTAAGAGGGCGTCGGAATTTTGTTTACGTAAAGTTTTAACCACCTTACATGTTCCTCCAGGATTTTCCGCCCTTACCTACAAGTAATATCCTCTCCCCTCTGATAAGACTTACCTGTCCAGATTGATTATTATATCAACAACGTGCCAGTATTTTCCTATCCTACATCAGGCCCTGAGTCCTGCAGCCTTTTCTCAGGTCAAATTCTTTACAACTGTACCTGAGGCTGGGTAGAAACTCCAATCTGGAAGAAGTCTATTGCTATGACTTAATAACATATCCTAAATGTTTTAGCATTCAATCCAATTGCAGGTAGCTGCCGGTATAATTTTAAAAGTTTGTGATTGTCGTAAAACTTAAATAGCACGTAATGCTGTACAGTAGAATGTAATGATTGTAACAGCTGAGACTCCGATCAGAATATCTACCGGCAGATATTCCAATCGGCGTTCCTCTAGAGTCTCTTGAAAGGCAGAAATGGCTTCAATTTATTCATTATCTTTCTATCTGTGTTCCCGCAGCGAGTGCCCCTCATTCACTCGACATTCACTGACAAGATGGACTAACAGTATCGTTTACAGAAGGACCAAAACAGCGGTAAGTCCACACATTATATATGTTGTTTCTGTTGATCTGGGGAGCATGTTTCAAAGTTTTAAAGTTTCATGTAGTTGATGTGTTATTGTACTGTAACATCGTTCTTGATGAATGAACATGCATATGACTTTCAACCTTTGTTTAGTTTGATGTACGCATCATTGCATTCTGTAAAATTATTGACTCACATGCTTTGAATATTTACATTTATGTCTAAAAGCATGACCCTAAATCTTGTTAATTTAAGAGCACAGCTAGGGAAAAGTTGGCATAGATTCATTTATGTTCTGTTTTCTCTTGCTGACCACAGGTAAACTTCGCCAAGTCCATCCTGAGATGCAGACTACAGCAGGAATTCACGAAGCCAAGTTGTGGAAGGATCGGGGTGTGCATGCAAGTTTTTCACGCAAA